ATCATAATGCTTGAAATGGCAGGAATTGATTTGTGGATTTGACTTTATTATTGTATTTTGATTTGTGGTTGAATGTGTTGATGATGAATGGGTTTAGAGTAATGATGTGTTAAAAAATTGATAGAGAATAAAATAATTGTGTTAGTCTAAGTGTAATTTGTCTATATGAAAAATATATGTTTTGTGTTTGAAATTTGGTTTGTTATGTTTATGTAGGTTTTGATATTTGCATATTTTCCTGAAGAGATAACTCATGACTCAAGCAAGATATGTAACATAGGCAAGAACTACTCTTTGGAGTCTTTGTGTTCAAATGGTGAGATATTTACCTTAAGTGATGATGTTTCGCTCAAGCGACAACACTATCAAAGGAGAGAATAGTATCTCAACCTTTATTTCACAACAAGGTAGTGGTCGCTCAAGTGATGAGATACCACGCTCAAGCGGTGTGGTTTTAGTGAGGAATGAAATGTTTTAGAGGAAATTCGTTTAAGCGAAATTCTCTATTTTATAAAGGCTTAAAAAATCTAGGTAATTAGAAGAAAACATATTTTCTTTTGATTGTTCATTAGTGTAAAATGGGCTTTTTACATCACTCAATTCTCATCGGACCAAAAAATAACCAACTTAAAAAAAAGTGCGGTGACATTTTTGTAAATGAGGGATGCTACTTTTACGTCAGCCCCTATGAGCTCCGACGTAAAAGTTTTCATGATTTAGTTGTTTGAATTCTACATTTTTTGTTGTTTGTAATTTGCATATTAATGATATAATAGTAATGAGTAAGTAAGAAAGAAAATGAAATGGTATGATGTGAAGAGAATATATTCAAGTATATAGGGTTTAAGATTTTATGATGATGAAAAGAACGATAAGTTCGAAGAATGATAAATTTTCACCCTGATATCAGATGTGGACACACATCATATAAAAATGAAGGGAAAAAGAGCAAAGAAAAGAGGGATTTGTCCTAACAATTTTTCTAAAATATGTTCCTAACCACATGTAATAGACAAAAGTATGTTATATTAACATTATGTTTTGTTTTTCATTTCAGTGTAATAAGCATGACTATTATATCATGTATTGGATGAGAGTCATAATTTGTACAGGTATAACTGACTCTTGGACGAAGGTAATTCTTTTCAACATTTGTTAAATTCATTTACCTTTATGTGTATTGCATGTTAACATAAGTCAAATTAATGTTTCAACTATTTCAATATTTATATATCTCCACTATCAAAACATGATATTACATAAATTAAACAGCAATGAACAATGTTTTCGTTCAACATTTCTGATACTTAGCTTGTAAGTTATTGTTTGTATTGTATTATGTAGTTTAACATTTAAGTAGCTTAGTTTTTGTACTAATTTAGCTTTGTAATGTTTACCTTTTAAATAATTAGTCTTTGTACTAATTTAGCTTTATATTATATTGTATTATTGTATTATATTGTTTATTAAAAATTTGAAATTTGGATTGGTTGTAACAAAAAAAAAACGAATATTAAAATAAGGACGAAATTTAGGGTATAACCGACTTGTGCTTGACATAAAAAGGTCAAAATAACATACATAAAAGCCTCATTTTGTACTAGTGGTTGTTACATACAATAACTTATGCTATAGGAGTGTGTTAAGAATCTAAGTATGAGATAAAATCTTACATTAAATAAAAATGAGAAAATTATAGTTTATAAGTGAGAGACATGTAAAACTAATGCATTAAGATTTTAAATTGAAAGTAATATTATATTATTTTATATGATTGACTCATGTCCATTGATGAATATCTCTTAGTATTAACCCTCTAAAAAATATTCAATAACTATATTAGAACTTGGTTAGTAAGTATCTTAAGATTTTTGTTGAAAATGATATCATATTCTTTTATAAATATTTAAAATTATATTTAATACTGGGAAAATATTATATAAATAATTTAATTTATATGTTATTTTAAATTACTAATTTACTTTAAATGTTTTTGTTATGTTATTTGAATTATAATCATTTTATGTTTTAGTCAAGAAGAAGATGATTTATTTTTTTAAAGTTTTTTTTAAGAAAATAATAAAAATAAGTGTATTTTTTTTATGCAAAAGAAAATATTATTTTAAATAACTTAGTGCTTATGAATTAAATATCTATTTTACGATTAGTAAATACAATAAAATGGTTTTTTAACTAATGAATTAGAACAATGGAGTATGTATTGTCAAACATATATATACAAGTGGGTTGAACGCTACTAGTTGCCAAATGAACAACGTGAACAAACAATCTCAAAGGAAGCAGAACTTGATACTAAATCTTTATCAAGTACTGAATTATGTAATGAAAACAAACACGAAAGCATTTGTTTAGAATTTCAAGGGAGAAAAACCTTACTTTAAGCTTGGAAGATGTGTGATCATGGTTGGTTCATTCAAATGGCATGCATATATATAAATTTAAAACTAAGATGCAAATGAAAACAAAAAAGAATAAAGGTAGATGGGCCATGGAGTCTGTGATGGGTGTTTGTCTCTAACCAAAATTGTTGCATGGAAGTTGTATTTAATTTGGTTCTTTTTTAAGAAAAAGAAAAGTGGTGGACAAGGAAGGAACCAAAAGAAAAAAGTGTGTTTCCTTCACTGTCAATCTACCTCATTCCTAAAGAGGGTAATTGTAAGGAATCAATAAAATAAGTTTAAGAGAGAAACAAAAGTATGTTAGTACAAACGCACACAAATACAGTTAAAGCTGACTCAGATCACAAAGCTTCATATACATGCTTGCATAAGAATCTCATCAACTCCACTCTTCTAGGTTTATCTGTTCATCTAATAATTTACTTCAAACAAATTCATAAAATTTTTTTATTACAAAATATTCTAATGTTTCTCAAAACAATAATTTATCTTTAATTTGTGTGATTAACCAAGTTTTGTAATGAGATGAATAATTGATAATAGAGATAAATATTATATGTCAATAATATGTAATTGTAAAAAGATTAGTTGTAATAAATTAATTTATATTTGTACACAAATTTAAGTGCATAGTTATATCGGTGCATTATATGTACAGTGTTATTTTCATGTTATGGTAGAGCATTTTTATAATTCATCTATTTATCTTACCCATGTAATTGTCTAAATATATATTTTCCATGCATTTTTTGGTTATATATTAAAATGATTTGGTAAAATATGATTTATTTTCACTAAAAACTAATTTAGATATGTTCTGGCCACTGCAAAAAGAAGAAACAAGAAAAATATTCAGTAGAAAAGAACAAAATTACATATAAAATATTAAAAAATATAAAAATTTAAGCAAACTGGATGAAAATTATAAAATTTTTAGAATTTAAAGATAAATTAAAAATATAAATATCAATAAATCATTCAAGTGATTGAATATAAAAAAAATATCATCTACAAATAAAAAATGAAACAAAATATTTCAGAAATAAATGAAAAATTATAAGGGAATAAAAATATTGAATAAAAGTTAAAAGATAAATTAAAATTATAATTTAACCAAACTACGACCATTGCACCAACTAATTAATTCTAAGTTTAATACTAAAAAAATTCTAATAGTTGAACAATTAAAAATGCAAAATGCATGTTAGTTTCACAACCATAAAGCATGCATGTAATTGGGTAAAATTTTGGCAAATCATTCATGGATGGAATCTCACATTAAAAAAAACGCAATTCATAGAATCAGCTTTCAAAGAATAAACTGTCTTACATGTCTGCCATTGTAGAGTTAAGTGCAGGTTGTATTCGAAGAATCGTTGAACGAGAACAATCATTACACTTCATAACGGTTTGGATTTAACATGTTTTAAACACATCATTTTTACTTAATCTATTACTTAGATCAGTAGATTTTTAGCTAAAATAAACGCTTATTGATTATGTACTTCCTTTTATTTAAACCATAGATTATAAAAATTGACACATATTACATCTATTGTTCATTGTTATGCTATTTTACATCTTTAACATAATTTTATATTTTTAATGAACTCTAACAACATTCTCGAATGGGTCTCTGAATTCAAATTCGTAAAAGCAGTATTTTTGTAAATATGAAATTTTTATTACAATTCATTTCTCCATTACTGTCTATGTTTGAAGGTATTGATCACTTTATTTTAAATAAAATATAATTTATTTTAAATAAATCTCATTTGTCATGTTCTTCATTCATCTCTTATAATCACATTACAAAATAGATTTTGTCTTAAATTCCCTTCTATGTCACTCATTTAATTTTACTCCAATTTTAAAAGTTCTTAAACATTAACACAGTTCCTTAATCCATTAGAAAATCCCAAACAATACTTTATATATATATATATATATATATATATATATATATATATATATATATTAAAGTTTCTATTCTTTAGTTCAATGAATTTCATATTTATCTCAAATCACCATTAACACCTCAATCCTAAAATCATTTTAAATTCTTAAAAGACTTACAACACGATTAATACGTGTTATCTACCCTTGTGTCGCAGGAGTAGTCACAGATGGGAGATCGGAATTTTAATTATATATGATCGAAAATAAAAATAAATAATTCAACAAAATATGTGTATACGTAACAATATTTAAATGCTTAATTAATACCATGTTAAGTCGAGCAAAGCATACAAAAAAATAAAAAAAATCGTATACTTAAAAATAGTTTAATGCTTAGTTAATACCATGTTCAATCAGAGCAAAGCATAAAAAAACAAACAAAAAAAACTTCAACAGAACAAATCTACTCCCAACCATACGAAAAACATTGAAGTTACACCCACTTAATTAACAACAACTTCTCACACACAAAAGAAACCTCTCATCTTCTCTCTACTATTACCCTTGCACTCATTAACAACCTTCAGACGCTACCATTAAACCCTAAAACATCATTAGATAAACTAAACCCCTACTTAACTACTGAACTTCAACAACCCAAGACCATGAGAAACCTTCTACTCAAACAACAACCCTAGTCACAGCCTTGCAAGACAGTGGTTTCTTCATCTCCATGGAGAGTTTGAGACACTCATCCAAGTCCACATTACCATCCTCAGAAGCAACCCACTTAAAAGTCTGGAGTAACTGAGCAAGCCAGAGATGGACAGAAGCCAAGCCCAAGGCCTTACCAGGACACACTCTTCTTCCAGAACCGAACGGAGCCAACCTCAAATCAGACCCCATTATGCTGACATCCTCCTCAATGAACCGCTCCGGTTTGAACTTCTCCGGTTCAGCCCACACTCTCTCATCATGCGTGATTGCCCACATGTTTACCATCGCAGTGGTACCCTTCGGAATGTGTTTGTCACCCACCGTCACATCATGCACCGCCAAACGAGCCCAGGAGAGAAGAGGACCCGGTGGATGCACCCTCAGAGCCTCTTTCACAATGCACTGAAGATAACTGAGGTTCGGAATGTCAGAATCAGAAACGAGCCTTGAAGATCCGCACACACTGTCAATTTCGCTTTGTGCCTTTTCTTGTATATCAGGGTGGAGAACCATCCTCGCCAGAATCCACTCCAGGAGAATTGCCACTGTGTCAGTTCCCCTGAAAATCATTTCCTGGAACAAATCCATCCATTTCAAAGTTATAACATCTATCAAATAGTTTAAAGTACAAACCTTGTTAATAAAAAAAAAATATTAAACATGTCTAAAATATCAACCTCTTTAGATCAGTGATATAGAATATATATGTAAATATGATGATTTTCATTTGCTTTTTAATATTCTTCTTCCAACCAAACTTTTTCAAGAACTTCATTATATCTTTAACAAAAATGTCACTATTTATTAACATGCAAACAAAATGTTAACACATCAAAATTTATATTAAATTCATTATAACTGTTTACTAACATGCAAAAAGAGAACAAATTAATTCTTTAAAAAATAATTACTATGACAAGAAATTAAAAGCGAATGTACTAAATTATTTACCCAAAGAACTGCAATCATATCAGTCTCACTGAGCTTATTCTCGTCCTCCAAATCAAGCAACAGATCAACGAAATCACCCATCCCTTCATCCTTCACATACTCACCCTTCACCCTCTTCATTCTATGTTCTTCAATAATCTTCCCAACAAAAGCATTAACCTTTTCAACCAAACTCCTACACCTCTTCCTCACACCCTGCACATCCAACCACCCCAGCAACGGAAAATGGTCACTCCAGTTAAACACACCCAAAAGCTCATATCCTTCACTCACCAACCCCTCAAGCTCAACCCCCTCACCCTCAAAAAACCCATAACACCTCCCAAACACAGTCATCATCACATTGTTCAACGACCCGAAATGAAGCACCTTTTTAACCTCCACCTGTCCGTTTTCACTCATAACCTTTTCCAGTTCTTCCACCATTTTCAACCCCACCTCGCGCCGGAACCCTTCGAAACCCGCTATCCTCTTCGGGGAGAAGAGGTGGACCGCGGATATTCTCCTCAGGTTCCTCCAGTACTCTCCATACGGTGCGAACCCCATTGCACGGTGAAAAAGAAGCTCGTAAGCCGATTCCTTCACCGGTCTATCAGCAAAACCTGCGCTACCGAGAATCTCCTTAGCAGTTTCCGGTTCGCTTGAAATAACAAACCGAGTTAGGCCGATGGAGAAAGCCATGAGCTTCTCAGCACCATGCCAGCGAGCGAGTTTGGCCAGTGTGCGGTGCGGAGTCAAACCGGTGAAGACCCCGAGCAAAGCAGTCACTGGGCCCGGAATAACCGGCCGGGCGGAGGACTTGGATAGGGCCCAGGCAAGGCCCCCAGGGGTGAAGAAAAGCATGAAGAGAAGGGTGAAGAGGAGGACGCATAGTGCGGCTTGGAGAGTGAGAATAGGGGAATGAATGAGTTCAGGGAAGAACAAGAGGTGGTGGAAATCTGGTGACATTTTTTTCCTTTTGTGAAGGGGAAATGGGCGAGGGAAAGATGGTGGTGTGAGAGAGACGAAGGCGAGGTTGTGCTGTAAGAAATGAGTACTGAATGGTGTAAGAGGGTTGGATGGTTACTGGTTATATAGAAAGTCGGTGAGTGGTGTGGTTAAAACATTGATTAACCATGGTTAAACAGAAGAGTAGTGATATTTTGAGATCCAAAAATCATACCACTCCAGAAGAACTAACTTTTATTAATATAATAATTTAATATAATAATTTATAGACTAATTTAAAAAAAATAAAAATAGGAATTGGATTTGGATTTGAATTGAAATTATCATTTTCCTGAACAGAATAACAAAACTACAATGGAAACTACATAGAAAACTACACAGATTGTCCACATCATAAAATTTATTATAAATAATTTTTTTCTCACAGAAAATAGAGACATGAAAAAAATTTAAAAATTAAACAGTGGTTAAATTTTTTTGGTTTAATGTATTTCGTAATTATAATATAATCCTATGAACAAAGACGATATCATTTGTATTTTATTTCAATAAACCTGATAAATATATATTTTAAATTTGAACTACCTCACTTTCATTGATGCATGTAACTTTGATTATTTTGAATCTAATTTTATAGTAAAATTTCTATATTAATAATAGTATAGTTATGAAAATTGGATTTTAATCTAAATCATTTATATTGCTAATTCAAAGTCATTATTCATATTACATTAAAAGATGATAAATTATTATATGATTAAATGATAGTACTTTTTTTATACAAGTAGTATATTTAACATTTATTTATGAATAATTAAAATAAATTATATAAAACATTAAAAAAAAGACAAAAATGTAGTTTTCTATTTAAATCACTCTGTAAACTTCTTAACAAATTATTTGTAAAATTTAAAATAATTATTGAAAATATTTTTAAATTAAGTTATAAATGAGAAAAAAATAAAAACCTGTATTATTTTTAATTGTTTAAATTATTACAATGTTAATTGATAAGAATTTCAAATACTTAAACTCTGAATCAAATTAAAATATTTAAAAAATATATATGAAGTTTTAAATTTATTTTACGGGAATTTACGCAAGTAGGCGAAAGGTTATAATATTATTTAAATTCTTAATTAGTTGTAAAATACAATTAATTACATTTACCCATATAACAAAACACATGCTTAGATAATTATGTTTAATTGGATATTGGTGAATGTGCAAGTTGTTGTTCATCAAATTTCAATTACACATTTAAGTTTTAGTTTAAAAAATTATTTAATTTTAATCATGATTAATATATCATTCAAAAAAAAATTATATATATATATATATATATATATATATATATATATATTGGTGATATAAAGTAAAATAAATGTGTTGATGGACTGAGATTGTGTTGCAATAATAGTGACGTGATCGTCCTCAAAACCATCCTGTAAAACCAAATTTATACATTTAAGATACTTTATTTAACTTCTTTCAATGTCAACAATCATGTTCATAAAAATATGCTCCAACTAAGGTTATATTTAACAGATGAGTTGTTGTAAAATATTGTTATCTACTCAAGCTTTATAAATAAAAAATTATGACATTAAACCTTTATTAAAAAATAGCAATAAGTACAAAGATAAAATGCAACAATTATGTTATTCATCAACCAATAAGACAACAACCTCATCCGCAAGAGAATAATTCTTATTATTTAATAATTTAAGGGAGAATATATGTGTGATTTTTAATATTTAATTGAAAGAAAAAAATATAATAATATTTTGATACGCATGTATTATAAAATATATGTTTAATTTTATTGATCTTTTCTTTCAAATAATATAACTTGAGTATGCATAGTTTTTTCAAAAATGAAAATAAGCCTATTTTTGTGCTGAGTAGGTGTTAAGATGAGAAATGTATTATGCGTGGGAATCACCAAAACACCAACTAACACATGGTCGTGCCAAAAGGAACTACTTGTTATATTTTGCTTTCACGACGTAATAAAATAAATGAACATAAGATAAACAAAATATTAGTTTTATTAATAAAAATAATAGAAGTATTTTATTTATAAATAAATAAATTAATAATTTTATATTTTATAATATTATAAATAATAAAAGTAAATAAATAAATTCACCATCATAAATTTTCTAATTTTGTATATTTTACAAAAAAAAACATTTTCGTCCAAAAATTTATTGATTTGTTATAAAATTAAACCATTTTTTCATAAATTAAAATATCAGATGCATCGTTTTATGAAAAAAAAAAAAGACGAAAAGTTGTCTGCATAATTTTATTTTATTTATTAAAAATTTTAATTTATTTAATTGTTTTAATTGATTATAGAAAACAATCCTATTAAATAATGTTTCACTGAATTTGTCCATATTACCTACTTCTCTACTCAAATTAAAGAGATATTTTTTCTTCTTAATGTTTTGCCTCTGTTTTCATCTTTAATCGACATTTTCAAGGGTAATAAAGTTGTTTTTGTCTAATCTCATTTTTTTCTGTAGAAAACATGTTATGATTTTCAAGATTTTCACGAGTAATATTAATTAATTATATTTCACTTAATTTTTGGATTAATAAAAAATAGAAGTGATTTTTGGATTAAGTTAAATTTCTAAATACTTACTTTTTTTTACTTAAAAAAACACAATCTATCATTTTGAAACATGTCATGTATTCTACATTCACTTCTTTGTAAATTTAGTTAGGTAAAGATTATAATTTCATTCTAAAAAAAGTTGGTAATTGTGTTTTGTAAATTAGATGGTAAGAAAAAAAAATCTAAAAAAAATAAGTTTAATATAAATTTATAATTTTTTTCGTCCATTCATATTCCAATATGTCTATAATAATGATTTAGGTGTAATATTTTTATAATTAAATTAAATTTTTGATGGATTATTATCATAGTTGTTATTCTATCACGACGTGGTCGTGTTACACGATGTTTTGCGTGTGTTTTTCCTTTACAACTCATTTGTCACATATTATAAAGCAAGAAAAAGATTATTTATCAATATTGTTGTTAATCTATCATTTTTCCATTAATGCAACCTCTAAACTACTTTCAAAATTTGCCTTATACGAAGGTTGTTGATTCGAGCAGATTTTGTAAAATAGTAACAATGTTCAATTTTATTTATATAAATTCATTTTTAAAAGTATATATGTTAAAAAAAACTAATAACAAGATGTCCTATGGTGTATTATTGATCCTATGGTCCAATTAAAAAAAATTTGAGATAATGAAGAAATAAAAATTATATTACCATTTTTTAAAATATTATTTTTCTTAGAAATATATTTTAATCAAAATGTTGCATCGTATATAATTTTTTTTTATCAATAATATTTTTAAATAAATTAAAATTCAACTTAAATTTAAAAAAAATTAGAGGTAGAGATATGATGGCAGAAAAAGGTATCTTTTTGAGAATTTTAATTTACTAATTTAAAAACAAATTCAGAATAAGTATTTTTTATTATAAAATATGTTTTTCTTTCCAATAAATTTTTCACAAATTAAAAAAAATAACGACAGATATACATGAGTTGCTAAATATTTATGTATTTAAAAGAATATATTTATTTTTGTTGTTGTTAATTTAATCCTTATACTCTACCAAAAAATAGATTACTATTTTTTTAAAATAGTTATTATTTTTATTTGTTTATTATTTAAATTATTTATAATTGTTAAAAAATTTAAAACACATCAAATAACTCATCATAAATAAAATACATTAAATATAATAGCAACACAATACCTCTTATGTATTCTTTATCTATTCAAAGCATATTAAAAAAATATTATAATTGATAGAAAGTTTAATATATGACAGATAAAACCTATAGTCAACTTAAAGTTCATTTAAAACAATTAATTTTTAATGTTATTAAGAAATAAGGAAGGATAATAAAAGTAATAAATGTCACTAGTATTGTATGACTTAGTTGCTGCTTTTATCTCATACATTTTCTATCCATGTTTAGTTGTCATTATTTGCTAATTATATGTGAAAAAAAAATCTTAAACCCTACTCAATACCTTATCTACATACATGTATTGTAATAAAACATATTCTAAAAATTTCTTTACTAAACAAAGAAACTTTAGAATGGAGAAGTTTCTCCTTATGCAACAAAATCCAATGAATAAAAAATATTAAAAATTTTACATTAATTCTATTACATCAAATAATTAAAATCTTTTCATTCTTCTATTTTTATGAACTACACATGCATCTTTCTTAAATCACTCCAAACAACTGAATTGAACTTAGTATTTCAGCATTTTGATCCTCTTCGTTGATATTTACAAGTTATATTCTCTTTCTTAAGGTTTGAATGTGAAGGATTGACCAATTTATTTCTTATTATATTTCCTATGTATCATGCATGCGCTTACATCAAACTGAGGTTTTGTCAGAAAGCCTTTGCCCCCCTACTGCTGTGCACACTTGGTGCAACAGTATGTTATACAATCTAGGGTGACCTTACAATGTGTGTATTTGAATTTGAATGTCCAGTTTGAAAATTTCGTAAATTCAACTGAAACATAATTCAAATAAAACATAGTGATATATATCAAAAGATTAGGTCAGTTAAATACATTGAAATAACATGTTGATTTATACGCATGTATAAGTTGAAGAGTAATATTACTTAATATTAACATATCTATGATATAGGTAAATCTGATTGATGAGTTTTTTGTGTATTGTCATTGCGTTGCACACGTGAACCACTCCATCGTGATGACTTGACAAACACAAAAACTGAAAAGGAGAAAACGTAGGAATACAGCTTGCGAATAAATAGTGAAGAAGGATATGGCTGCAAGTGGCAACCATGCATTGCGACGACAGAAAATGAACAAAACACTGAGAAAGAATCAACAAACCCCTATTAATATAATATCTATTGAAACCACCAAGGAGATGACTGAAAGACCTACAACAAAACCCCAG